CTAGAGAGAGGTGTCATGTTATAACCCTGTAAAAATGAAATGGTGTCAATTAGATCAATGAAGATAAAAGAGGATAAACAAAGGGACTGAAATTTCAGTATTATTTCTGCAATGGGCAGACCTACCCTAAGTCCTTAAACTCCATTGTCCAACTGGAAGGGTGACTCTGTCCAAACAAGATTTAGCAGTCATAAAAAATGTGGGTCATAAAAGTCTGGTAAATAGATCAGGATGTGGCCCACCAGCCTCAAACACCATGTTCATATGACTTCTGTATGGCACCTGTGACATTTATCCAACATTTGGTCCACACTTAGGAAGAGGATGGCTCTCACATGGCCTGGGTAGCCCAAAGGGGACCACAGTAGCTCTCAGCCAGCACCCCCAAACAGCCACTAATTGACTGTAAAAGTGAAAGGCAACAGCTAGAAATGTTAAAGGGGATCAATCTTAGTGTTACTAAGTCTGAAAAGCCTACCTGTGACTTAGGGCAATAAGGTTTTTTTTGAAGATTTGACTTCTACATATTTACACACCCTCACTTTAAAAACGTCTGAACAAGTATTCTGAAGAAAACTTTGCCTTCAGGTTAAAATAGTACATGAACGATTTAAGCAGTAAAAGGACAAACCTCTGTATTCTATTTTCAATATAAACTTATTTTCTCCACAGAAGTGGCTGTTTCTGATCCCATTTCCCATGTTTAATGTAGCTGAAGATCAGTGTTGTTGAAATAATAATTGTGTTGAAACTGCAGAGTCAGTGATGGGAATCCAGAGCAGCTCATATGACTCAGTGATGAAAACTGAGTTTGCAAGAGCTGGAATTTATCATCTTGTGAGTGTGCATGATGTAGATGCTAGTTCTAAATGATTTTGTTTTGCCAAGACTTGGACAAATCCATCTTGGGTGCAGGAGGTGAGATTCCTACAGCTTGGGTTTTCCCACATGTGGCAGCACAGTGCTGAAGCCCCACTGCCTGTGCCAGCTGTGGCAGGGCAAGGGACCCAGCCACCACCACCACTGGCTCTGGGGCAGAGGGGTAGACCTCAACCCACTGCCAGCTCACCCAGTGCAGTCACACACAAGAGCAGCAGTAGCTGGAGAGGCTCTGTCTCTCTGTGTGTGTGCCCAGACACGGGTGACACCAGGAAAAGAGCATTAGAACTGTGCACAATAAGTGAACTAATGGAGAGATCATGAAGTTTGTGGAAGGCACTGGCTTTTCATTTTCTCATTTGACAATAACCAACTGTGGAGGTGGGACTGCCAGAGGAGTGGGAAAGATACAGCATCTGTATGTGAAGCCAATTTTTCAATCGGTCTCTTTCCAAAAGAAAAGAAACTTTACTCAGTGCCACAAAAGCTGTGAAGGGGCCCTGAGGAAATTCCAGTAGCCCTGCTGCCCAGCATGTGGGATCTTCCCTCTCCCTCTCTCTTCCTTAATCCTTTCCACGTCCCCAGTGGTTAAACTCAGAAAATCTTGGGATGGGGAAATTTCTGGCCCAGGAGCAAAGCAAGCCAGGATGATGAGAAATGCCAAGGTGGATGGGAGAAAAGGAGGCCAACAGGTGACATATGTCACCCAGGACAGCCCTGGGAGCAACACTCCAGGCGTTCTCCCACCTCCTCAGCTTCAGAGCAAGCAGAAGCGACCCTGCCAGGCCGTGCCACCTTCCCCCAACACCTGGCAGCTGCTCGGGCAGGAAGCAGGGGCAGCAAAAGTCTCAAGCATCCCTTTGGCCTCTAAACGCAGTCCCAGAAGCCGTCTGTACAAGCCGAGGAGCCCACACGATGGCACCACAGACGGCGGAGCGGGTCCCCGCGCCAGCCGAGGAGGCTGCGCAGCCGCGCCCGCTGCCTCCGCAGCCCCGGGAGCTGGACCCGGGCGAGCGCTCGGGTGATGCCTCCCCGACCACTCTATAAGCCCTGGAAGTTCGCCCAGGGACTTGAGCACCGACACGCTTCTGTCCCAGAAGTTCCCAATGAAACACTCTCCGAGCACGAGGAAAGGTTTTACCGCTGTTATTTTGCAGTCTGTGCCTGGCCCCTGGATGTCACAGCTGGCCTCGGTTGCAAGGAAAGTCATCTGCTTCTACTATGTCAAGGCATGTGACTTCAGCCACTTCTGCTGTGTTTATCTTTTTGTTTTCAGTGATGACAAAGTGCTGCATTTAACTGATTATCACTGGAACACGCCAGCCAGCAACAGAAACATGCACACAACTCTGATAAAGCAGGAACTTGTGCTGTTAGTTCCCTCCACTCAAGGCTGGCCACCTTCCATAGAATCACAGCATGTCTTGGGTGTGAAGGGATCTCTAAAGGTCCTCTAGTCTAACCCCCCTACAATAGGCAGGGACATATCACACGAGAACAGATTGCTCAGAGCCCCGTAAAGCCTGACCTTGAATGTCTCATCTCCAGGGATAGGGCCCCAACCACCTCTCTGGGCAACCTGTTCCAGTGATCCACCACCCTCATATCGAAGAACTTTTTCCTAATGTCCTACCTAAATCTGTCCTTCTCAAGCCTGAAACCATTACCCCCTTGTCCTATTGTTACATGCCTTAGTGAACAGGTCTTCCCCAGCCTTCTTAAAAGCTCCTTTCAAGTATTAGAAGGTAGGTATAAAGTCCCCCCAGAATCTTCTCTTCTTCAAGCAGAACAACCCCAACTCCTTCAGCCTGTCTTCATAAGAGAAGTGCTCCAGTCCTCAGACCATTTTTGTTGCCCTCCTCTGGACACACTCCAACAGGGGAAACATGCTGTACTTTTCTCACCCAAGCTAGAGGCTAAGGGGCCAGTAAAACTCATCAGGGTTTGGAAGTGGTGCCTCACAATGGGGCACGTAGCATCTTATGACTGGGGGAGATGGTGGCTTACTGGCTCCTCAAGGGCACAGGAAACAGCTGGGGAGAATGGATCTGCCCTCTCTCAGTGCTGCAGTTCCCAGCTGCTGCTCAAAAAGCTCCCCACAGAGTGTGATGCCTGTGCTGCATTGTGGGACTGGATGACAGTAATAATTTCCTTATTTTTCTAAACAAAAGAGCAGAAAGTATTTTGTAAGGATCTTGGTATTGTTAACCATGTTTCATTTTGGTTTCTTATTAAAAGCAAAATGAGTCACAGCAGAGCAAATATTAGCGGGAAGTCCAGACAGTCTGCAGAAGCCAGCTCCAGCCTTCCTGGGAGCAATGGGTCCTGCTGTCCTATTCTCCTGCATCAGCAGCTCCAGACTGGTCTCCTGCAGGACACCACAGGTCTGGCCACTGAAATCTGCTGAGATCTGCACAAGGGATCCCAAAACAAGGAAGAAACTCCCACTGCTAGAGCTGAAGACAACCTGCTGCCCTGGATGTTGTGATGAGACCCTTGCAAGGTCTGTTTGTGAATGTGTGCAGCACTGCAGCTCCCTCGCTTTTCATGGGCCTGACAGAACCTTGTCTTTCCTTGAAAATAAGAAGAATCTGGCAGGTCTTTTAATGGCCAAGCTGCCACTTCGTTCCCTGGTCCAACACACCTCCAGTGTGAAGTGTGACCCTTCCTCACGTTACACACCACATACTGATATTGGCAGCTCACTTTTCCTACCTCTAGCCATCCCTCTAGGGCCATATTCAGCAGCCCAGTCCCACCACATGCAAGGTGTATTTCTATCACCTGTATTCCCTAAAGCTGCCCCCTAAAGAGAGCACAGTTGCTAACACACACGAAATACTCTGCCACATCAGAGTTACCCGTTGATGACCCCTGTGTTTGTCAGGATTAACACCCCATAGCAAAACTTGGGTCAGCTGGGACTGGAGCAGAATCATACCTCACAGAGAAAGGGCATGCTGCAAACCACACAGCCTCTTCCTGTAATTGGCTGTAAATAGTCTACAGCACTTGTCTTTGTGCAGCTTTATCCAAAAATAAAATCCCTTCAGGCTGTGGTAGACCTCACTTTGATGTTCATGGGAACAGCACTCTCAAATTATATGCAGTACACAGCACATGGACTGCACTGTGTAGCAGTTCAATGCCACTGACAGTCTACTGCTTATATTTAAGCACTGAAATGTAGCTGAAATTCCTTGGGTAACATTAAGGTCAGTTTCAGGTTAACTTATCCCTTCCTGTATTCCCATAAAATAAATATTTTTTCTGAATCATGTTGAGTTTGGACCCTCTGAAAATAGTTTTCCTGGAAAAGACCTTGTCACTACACTGGAATTCACCTCTTCACTCTCCCTATATAAAGTGAAATCTCAATGAAGCCCGCTTGATTACACCATATCTTTTTAAAAGATACTGTGAATTTTTTTTATTTTTTTTTAAATTAATCACATGGTTACTGATCCAAAAGCTTTGGATCCATGTAGCAGCATATTCCTATCTAAGCATTATTCTGATTCGTAACTCTGCTTTTCCAGCCAATCAACTCCTACAAATTCCATATTGCTTATAGCAAGCTAAAACACAGCCTACAGCTGTCAGATCCTAATAAATCTTATCATACTTTGGACTTGAAATAAGTGACCTAAAGCTAAATGTAAGGAGAACATTTTTTCTTAAGCAGAAAAGCACACAGGGTTGAAAGTTCATCTTCTTGCAATCTAACTACCATGTTCCTAGAAGCCAAGGCCAGAGATGGGGCCAGTCCTCTGCATTCCCCACTACAGTGGGGGCAATTCTACTGACTGGGAGCTCTGGAAACTGACAGACACATCTCCATGTGGCCTTAAAAGACAGTTATGAGGAAACTGTATGTTCCTTTACACCACAGGTTTGTTTATCCGTTGCAGAGCCACAGCACTACCTGCCACCTCATCCACGCTTCCCAAGGGTAACCCCAGCTCCATCACTGGCAGTTTGCAGGTTTCCAAAGAACTCATCCCCTCGTCTCCAGGAGTGACAGCTCCTACCGCCCTCACCTCGAAGCTGGGGCCTTTTTCCCTGCTCAACTCGAAGAGAAAGGAGAGAAGAAGGGGGGCTTTTAGGGTGGTTAGCCTTACCTAGGGTCTCCTGGCCGGTTTCACAGCGGGGCGCTGGCTCGGCGGCCCTAAGCAGCCCGCCGAGGAGGAGCAGGAGCCTCAGGACCATGCTGGAGCCCTCAGTGCAGGCAGCACAGTGATGTGGCACTCGCTGCCTGCTGGATCGGCTCCTCGCCGGGAGCCTCGGCGCGGCTCTGGCTCCCCGAGCTGCAGAGGAAATCAGTGCAGTGCAGGGGCATGCCCACGGCTCGCACTGTGTGCAGTCCAGGCGTCAGATTTCAGCGAGGATTTGAGCTTGGAAAGCAAAAAAGGCTTTGAGACAGAGAGGGAGGAGGAGGAATGAGCTTCCCCCCCTCCCCTCTGTCTCCTTCTCGCAGCTTGGTTTACAATTTCATAAACAGTTGGAGAGAAGGGGGGTCCCCGCAGGGATGTGCCTGACTGCTCCTCAGCCAAGGGCCCGGTGCCTTTGGTCTTCAGGCAGCAGTTTTCCTAAGGGAAATGGGAGATTCGTTAAAGAGTGTCTTGCTTTGAGAGCAACTGCCTGGAGAGAGCAGGGGGGAAAGAGACAGAGAAACGCAAACAACAGAATGCAACTTTCCTCCCAAAGAATGATATTTCATAACCCATCTAATTGCAAACTTAAAGCATGACAGTGAAACTACATCCCCTCCAGCACAGCAAGAATGAGAACCCACAAAAATAGCCACCAGGACCCCTCTCTGCATGTTCCTTCTGGGCATTTTATTTCAAGTCCAGTCCACAGAAGCAAACGTCTAGGAATACTAGTCTTTTCTGTCCTTAAAAAAAACACTTCACAGAAGTGTAGAGAAAATCCCAGAACAACACGGATGGTAAATTTACATTGTTTCTCTTAATTTTGTTTGTTTTTGGGGAGAGTATTGAGGGTTTTTTATTCCTGTTTTTAATCAGAGAAATATGTACTGCATGTTTTTATCCCTATGCAACAGGAATGGTGGAGAATTGGACAGGATGTAAGCTCCTTGTTTCTTACCTACACAGCAAAAAAATAACTTTCTATTCACCCCCTCCCCCCCCGTCCCCGTATCACAGGAAAAGGGATTTTTCTTCAAAAATCTGGACCAAAACAGAGCAAGGTATCCTGTCTTTCCAGGCAGTGCATGTTTCTTAGAAGACAGATACCTGCTTACACATGAGAGCAGAGAATCTGTCCTTGCAGTTGGAGGACACTGGCTCCTGCTGATCACTATCAGATAGATCAGTAGGGAGTTATGATAATGCAGTAAAGTAAACCCCCCTATAGGGAAACACACAGAAGAGACTGGCAGGGCAGGAGAAACCTGTATGGATCTCAAAAAAAAACAATTGATGACTGATCATATTTGGAAGAGGGGTACACTGCTAGATGGATTGGGAAGCTTAGCAGTAATGCACATCCTCTGCTGCCAGGCTCTGCAAGGGAGGGCAGCCTTTCTTGCCACAAGGGTTTCCTACTAGATCCTGAGAGTGCAGTCTGCTCTAGGAGTAAACAGCACCAAAACTCATTAGGGTTCAAAGAACAAACTTTTAAGGACAAGAATATTATTTAGCTGTCTTGAGTCCTAAGCCCCCTAGTCCCTTCAATCTAGTCTATTCTCACATGAATCCTTTCTTGACTTCCCTCCCCCTGTGTAATCTCCCTCTCTGACTAGGTGAGAGCGCTGAAAGATCAAAATGCCAGCAGCTGGAGAGACCAAGGTGTAAGCTGCAAGGTCTAAGTGTCAGCAACTGGGGAGAACTGGATGCTTTTACATTTCCCAAGTGAATATAATCCTATACCCATGAGTGTGCATATGTAGCGTGCTAACAAACTTCAGCCTGGATTAGCAGGCAAGTAGGAGACTTACATCTGGAAAGACTCAAGGTCTGAATCAGCAACTGGCTTAGGAGCCCAGGGCACAGATGTGGGCTGAGAACTTGTGCTGATACTTGAGGGATCTGCGACTGCAAGCATGTGCACATGTGAACCCAGAGCAGGAGCATGTGTTTTCACTAGTGAACTTCAGTCCGGAGTAGCCAAAGAGAGGCAACAAGACTCTCTTGTGCTTACATTTATGTAGGTATTGTTGGTGCTGGTAAAGGGGCCTGACATCATGCATGTGTGTTTGTTTGTGCCTGCCACCATGGGACATGTGCTCTGGAACAGAAGAGACCCCAGCATCACAACAGGAAAAGGGAATCCCTGTGTCCTCAGTTGTCCGGATCTGGAACCCACCAACATCATATCCTTAATAAGCTCCACTGCACCATCTAAATAACCATCTACAGATGTTTTGCATTCAAGCAAGATGCCTATTTGGTACCAAGATAAAAAATGAACATATTAAGTAGGGTAAATGGGGATTTAAGAATGACATTAAAGTAATTAGCAACCCAGGTAGAATTATTGCTTTGTCATCACCATCTATATGTGTTTCCATGGTTGCATATTGTAAGGTATGGAGAACAGAAGGTCTGGAAGGGTTCTCTTTTAGTCTTACCTTAGATCACTTGTTCTTTTCCTCCTTTCCAGGGGATTTGAACATAAGCTTCATAGTGAGTCTTTCTGTGAAGCTTTGTCCATTCCCCGGTGCCTGGTTGCCACCTTTGAGTACCCCTGTAGACTTGCACCTTTCTAAGGTGACCAGCTACTGCTCCTCCCATCCATAGAGTATTTCTGGCCATGGAGCATTTCTACTTTGTTTGGGTATTTTTCAGACCATTATTAGTACTCTGTGTATATCACCTGTCCTTCTCATATGTTTGTTGCTTCTTAGCACTGACTGTACCAAACAGAACAACTAACAAGTGTTGCAGAGGTGTATAACCAAAATCTAAAAACATTGGGGAGGGATAGTTGGGAATAAAAGTACTTCCTCACCTCTGCCTTTTCATTTCTGCATTTTAGTAAGCCCTGTAAGCTTTCCAGGGAGCTGACATCAAGTTGTAGCTTAGGCTTAAATATGAGATATTAACTCCAATTATGAAAGAATCATTAAAATGAACAAATCCCAGAATTATGAGCAAATGCAGCAGCATCAGCTGGGTTTAATTGTTTGCACTTGAATCACTACAGTAAGGTTAGGTCAAATAATTGTACTAGCTTTTACTGCAGAACACCTCTTTCCTGACCAGACCTTTCTGTTAGCCTACAGTCCACAGTACAGCAGCAACCCAGAAATCCTCAGGCAGGACTAAATACCAAAATTGATTTATGTCTTTGGCAGGTACTCAAAGTAGGATTAAATACAGTACATTTAACTTGCTTGCATTCTCATGATTCTTACTATTGTCAGAGACGTTTACTAGAGGGATACATCAGACACAGACTGGTTTTCATTACCTGGTTCTTTTTATTTTGGCTCTGCTAATAGGAGGTTGGACAATAAACAGAAGCAGTGCTGTCTGCATAAGTGTTTTCTAAAGGACATAAACAGACTGAGAGCAGATCAAAATTATAATTTATGGCTTGTTACTCTCTCCTCCATTAGGTGTTAGTGAAGCTGACAGAACGTTGTATGGCTGCACATCACAGCTGCTTCAGTACAAAGTCAGCAGGCATAGTTTTAGAACTTTACAATCGTTTGAATTAATCCAGCACATATTGTCGTTTGCACAACAGAAACCGATCCTCACCCTGCTTTTTTTTTTTTTTTCCCCCTCTCATTTTCTACAGAACAGGGCAGAGAAGAGGATCTGCTCTCAGGACTGACGGAGAGAATTAGCAACTTCCTGCAAAACAATAGCAACTTTAAAAAAACCACACAAACACAACAAACAAATCTATCCTAAAAAAACAACAAACTATTCCATCTTTGCAAGCCCTTACCCCCTTATACCCCGACTGTGTTTCATGCCCAACGGAGATCTGGGAAAAGCCCTGGAGGGCTTCTCTTTCAGCTCCTAGATGCCAAATTAGAAAAGACATTTGTTCTCTAAACAAATCTTTTGAATTCAAACTAACATGCATGTGGATAAGAGTAATGGCTGGTTTACTGTAAAGGTACACAGACTATTCTGAACTCTGCTTTGTTAAGAGAAGCAGATATTTTGGAATGTATCTCTGTGTCTTCTGGGACCACCTACGTTCTGCTTCAGGAGCTTTTTACTTTTTCAGAATTTTTCAGAGTGCATTTTCTCTCAACTTTCAATTTGATCCCCTTACAACCCATAAGATAAAACCAGCTTTAGAAACTATCACAGACATGGAGAACCAGGTATTTGATGGGCAGTACAAGTAGAGAGTGGAGAAAAAGACCACACAAACAACTTTTCCCGTTTTCCTACATCAGACCCTAAGATTTTAACCTAGAATGGATCAGACATATGCAAAGAGAACCTAGTCTAGCCATCCACCAAAAGTTAAGCTTCGTGCAATAGTTCCAAAGTTACTCTTTAATTATTTGCTTTTTTTTTCTTTTTTTTTTTTTTTGTCATTTTGGCATGTTTTGACATTTCTTTCCCTCATTTTTCCTCATATACTGCAAACAAAAACAAGTAATTAGTGGATGGGGTTCCCCCCACCCCCATTAATATGTCACAGATATGTATTTCCTACCTGGTTAAATAGATAAAAAATAAAGAAATAACTTTTCAAGCCTTGAAAAAAAATTAAATCAATTTAATGCAAGTACCACCAGCAATAGTTAAATCCTGTTCTCATCTTCTAACTTTTCACAAATTAACTAAGTCAAGACCCACAAAGTTGGTTGCTTGTACCACTTCCAGGTGATCCACTGAAGTGATCCTATCATCATGCAGAGGAATGCAATTAAAGCAGAAGAAGGTCTTACCATCCACAATGATTCACCTCAGTACGTCTTTCTTTTAACGTACCCTTCACGTGATGTCTGTGCTCACTGAGGCTAATCAGCAAGAAATTAAGCCAGTCAGGAAGCTTCTTTTGATGTCAGGAGAAAATTATATTGAGTTAAAGTTCAGCCTTGATCAAAGGCACAAGTGATACAAAACCTTGATGGGAACCTGGCATGGTAGATGGTAGATTGAGACCACAAAGGGGCAACAGTAATAAATAGGATTCTGTGCCCAGGATAACATATACAAAGTAACATGCACTGATCTCCAAATGCTGCTATGAGAACACAATATTATTTAAACTTCATCATTAAAAAGATAAAACTGACATGAGGACCTTGGTGTCCTTCCAAAGGTTCTCTCTAATTACTGCCACGTGTAAAGTAGCAAAGGATTATTGCTAGGGGCTTACTGGTAATGCATTTTGTGGTCTTAGCTCACAATGAGGCCCAAAGGTGACTGCCCATCT